CTGAGTGCATCCATCAAAAGTATCCCTTGCTGGCATAGCGGGTGATGTGTTGGGCGCTAGCCACGAGGTCAGTGGTTCGAAACTACCAGCCACTCTGTGGGAGAAAAATGGGGTCTTCTGCTCCCCTAAAGATTCAGAGCCCCGAAAACCCAAAGGGGCTGTTCTACGCTACCCGACAAGAACGCTGTGAGTCAGAGTGGACTTGGTGGCCCCGAGACAGGGACTTTGTTTGCACAAACCATTGGAGACACAGACCGAGCTTCAGAACCCTGGGCTCATCTGTATTACCCATTGTATCGCAATACAACCGCGTCACTTTCTTACCTCCTGAAGAAACGTTTCACTCATCTGGCTGAAGGGATGCCCGGGAGGCTTGATTCCCGACACCATCAGGCCGGAGCTGAAGACTCGTGGCTTCTGCAAGTCTGGCTTGAATTTCTCGTAGAGGGCAGCAGGTGGCTTGAGGTCCCCGCTTGCGGTCTTCTCCTCCTTGGGAAGAGGCAGGCTGCATGCGGGGGAGGCGTAAGGGAGTCCCACCGGCACCAGCGAGGTGTCCACCTGGCCCAGAGTTTGAGGACTCCTCCTAATGTAGGTGATGATTTTGGGTCTCACGTGCTTGGGCTTGGGCATGAGGACGGGCTTGGCCTCCGCCCTCTCCTCTGCTTTTTCCATCTGTCCATTCTCCAGTCCCTCCTGCGGGGAAGGGGTGTCCTTGAGGTATGTCAAGGCAGGCTTGGGGATCCCACTGCAGGAAGTGTTCAACACCTGCACACTGGCAGGGGCAGTGGGGACAGCCATGGAGGACCCAGCGTCCACAGCCAGCGTGCCCAGATTCTGGACGTTGCTACTTGCTGGTATGGGCTGGTGGGTCACAGTCACAGCTGGGACACTGAGAGATGCCGGGACACCAGGGAGAGGGCTGGCTCCTGCTGGGGCGCTTTCCGTCTCGGCCGGGTCTTCGGGAAGGTCCCTAGCTTCTGCAACATGTGTTGTCATTGTCTTTGTTTTCTCACCTGCGTCTGCACCGCTGCTGTGAGGGACAAGGGCCCCAGGGGCCCCAGGATCACCCTCTTTGGCAGAAGGGTCTGAAGGGCAGCCTGCGGTCATGTCCTGGTGCCCACTGCCCACTGGGCTTCTTTTCTCAGCGCCTGGCGGGTCACCAGGAGCAGATGCCACCTTGCCATCACCTGCTGAAATAGCCCCTGGTGGTGTTTCTCCCAACTTCCTGCCTACACTTGGTGACACGGTGCCAGTGGACAGGCTCCCTGCCGCTCCCAAGGACCCCGGGTGCTGTTGGTGGGCCCCAGGTCCATCAGGACCCCCTCCTCCCAGCCCCACAGGGTGGAGACTGCAGTGGGGCAGACGGCTTCCGCCACCAGGTTCTTCTTGGGGTGAGGAGGCCATCTCTGCCTTTCCACACGGCTCTTTTCTCCGCAGGGGTGACAGACACACTTCCTTAGTCCCCTCCAGCCACTCTGGCCCGGTCGACGTCAATTCCTGAACCCACTTCAGCTCAGACTTGGGCTCTCCCTGCCCTTGAGCTGATTGTGCTTCTGGCTGGCTGGGGGTGCCCTTGGAGGGCACTGTCTTAGAGGGCTCTGTCCCTGGAGGCTGTGGTATCCTCTCCAGGCTGATGCTCGGTGTGTCCCCTCCCTCCCTCAGGGTCTCTGAAGGAGTGTCTTGCTTGGTTTCTGAGGTAGGTGGTTTAGGGCGCAGCCCCGTCTTGTCCTCTGCGGCATTGTCAGAGTGGTCTGGCAATGGCTTCAGTGGTTTCCCTGCAGCCCCGGTGCCACAACGTGGGGCTTCAGTGGAGTCTCCTGTGGCAGGCTGAGCCAGGATCCCCACATGGTCCTTAGTGCGCGCCTCCATCCAGAAAGCATAGCTGCTCCCCCTCTCTGCGGAATGCTTCCTCTGCTCCTCACAGTCAACGGTCTTGGCTGACTTCTCCTTGGGGACCTCAGCATCCCGTTTCGTGGAAACCCTGGGGCAGGTCTCATCGAAAGGATCCCTCCGGTCCGATGGGCTGGGTCCCTGGACAACCCACGGGGTCATCAGAGGAGCTGTGCTACCCCCCATCATGTGCTCACTCAGTTCCCCAGGAAACGCCACCCTCAAAGTGGCCTGACCCTCTTTCTGGCTGGCAGGGCCGCCCTGCGAGTCCCGCCCAGAGCCCCGAAGCCTGTGGAATTCCTCGTTGGACATGTCTTCTAGCCCCATGGAGTTCCCATTCTCGGCTCCATCTGCCTGCCCACACGTCTTGGGTTCGGCGTGAGGGGGGCCGGCCTCCACCACGATTTGGTTGGCATTTCTGTCTCCCAAACTAAGGACCGTCTCGTTATTATTGGTCACCCCGTTCCTGTGGTCCCTCAACTGCCCGTAGCAGGCTTTCTTGGGAGCCATCGGGACACTCATTGTCCAACAGGAAGGCCCGCTCTTCTCGCGGGATCCAAGATGGGCAGACGGTCCTCAGGCCTCGCACAGTGGTGCTGAGGCCGCCCTGCTCGCAGCTGCTTGGACGTCCAGCATCGCCGGGGTCATCAGCAGAGGGACGGACAACGACACATCAGTCAGGCCCCTGACCATGAGCACCTACCGGCCCACGAGACCTGCAGACAAAGGAGAAACATCGGCGTCAGACTGACAAATGTGGTATCCCTACATGCTCGGTCGGGGCTCTCAGACTCTGAACGCCATTCTCCAAAGTCCAGCCCACGAGGGCTCTGACCGGCGACACAGGAGCACGTACACACTGGGTTCCAAAAACCTCATGGCCATCGAGCCCCTCCTGACCCCTGGCGACTCTCCAGGGCAGAGTGGAACGGCCTCCGGGTGCGTCCGAGGTGGCACATCACCACGGGACCAGAGCTGCTGCTTTGGGCCCTTGAGTGGCTGAGGGGTTCGAACTGCTGGCCTTGCAGTCAGCAGGCCAACATGTAGCCCATGAGGCCAGCAGGGCTCCCTGAAATCACGCTCTGCTTGGATAACAGCAGACGGAGTTTTGTGAAGGACCCTGGTGGCCTTACCTTTCAAGTGCTCACTCGGCTGCTAGTGGAAACCTTGGAAACCCACCCGCCCAGAGGCCTGCTGGGGGAAGACCGGAGATCAGTTTCTCTCCAGATTACTGCCCAGAAAGCCCAGCGGGAGGTTCTGCTCCACCACAGGGGTTGGCTAGGAGGCCAAAATGACTCGGGGGCACCTAAAAAGCCCCACCCATTTTAGAAAGCCACAAGTCCATCCCCCAAAAGCAAACCCGCTGCCATGGAGTCGATGCCGACTCATAGCAACCCAAAGGACAGGGCTGCTCTGCCCCTGTGGGTTTCCGAGACCGTCACTCTTTATGGGACTAGAAAGTCCCATCTTTCTCCGTTGAGCTGGCTGGTGGTTTTGAACTGCTGACCCTGAGGTGAGCAGCCCAAGTCTTAACCACCGTGCCACCAGAGGTCTTTGACAAATGCATGCAGATACCAAACAACTACATTCATTTTAAAAGGTGGAGGAGAAACAAAGGTGCTTCTTTACAGAAGACCACCGACTAAGAGGAATACAATGTGATTGTGTTGGACAATTGGACTACCTGGTGGCAGCGTGGTTACACACTGGGCTACTAACCATGAGGTCAGTGGTTTGAAACCACCAGCTGCTCCAAGGGAGAAAGACAGGGCTTTCTACTCCCATAAAAAGTTAATCTTGGAAATTCACCAAGGGCAGTTCGATCTTGTCCTATAGGGTCGCTCTGAGTTAACTCGAGGACAGTGAGGTTTTTTTGTTTGCTTGCTTGTTTTTGCATGAAGGAAGTAAGGGGTCACACTGCCTTCCTGTCTCCGCCCCCTAAGTCTACAATCCTCACTCTCCCTGTCCTGCTTCCCATCGCCGCCCCAAGTCTGCCAGAAGAGGATCCCAGGGCAAACACACAGGAGTGTCCTTCTCCAGTAGATAAGCATCTTATTGGTGGGTTAAGATAAGCATCTCCCTCATGAATATACCTTGTGGTCCTGTGCGCAGGCTTACAAAGCAGGAGTCTGAGCCATCGGAAGTCCCTTTCCTCCCGGTCCCTTGGCCAGTCTGAATGTGCTTGGGGGCTACGCAAGCTCAGAGCTTTGGGAGCCTTCAAAGGGACCTGGGAAGAAAGACCTGGCCGCTGCTTCCCAAAGATTGAGATCTGATGGAGAGTAATTCAACCAGTCACTCAGTTGCTGTGGCAACTGGCCATGGGTAATTAAACAGGATAGGTCTGGATGGGGTTCCTCTCACTGCTTGGAACTTCAGGCGATGAGACCTACAGTCCATCATAGATGAAGCCTGGCCTGTCTTCACTCCGAGCCTTGGGGCATCCATGAGTGGCTTCTGGTGTTTGCAGAGTCAAACAACTACCAAAGAAACGCGTAAACAGAACAGCAGAACGATATTAAATGAATTGATTAAAAAATAGATAAAACACATGGCTCTATTGACCGTCTGTGCTAGTGACCCTCTAGGGCAGGGTAGAAATGTCCTGTGGGTTTCGACTCTACACTGTGACTCATTACGGGAAGAGAAAGCCCTGACTTTCTCTGGAGGAGCCGCTGGTGGTTTTGAACTGCTGACTTTGCAGCTAGCAGCCCATCTCATAACCCCTACACTACCAGGGCTTCCTTTCCTGGGACCAAACATGTCCTTGTCTTGTGTTTTCGATCTGTGGCTATTAAAATTAAAAAACAAACAAAAAACTTCTGAGTGATAGCTTTAGATGTCAATCATAGTTATTTTATTTTTAATGTCCAAACAGAAGGTTTAGTCAGAGCAGTGAGTGCACAGGCAACCAGGGAGATTATTTTGATTCCAGAAAAGAAAAGAAAAATCCGTCCAACAAGCCCAAGAAGCTCGGTACACTGAGGCTTATGCGAGCAGGAGAGGAGGGAGGGGCTGGAAGCCAACCGCAGATCATCTTATCCTGATTGATGGACTGTCCTCCCCTCTGACTGAGATCAGCCTTGATCGGGCCCCAAGCCAGTCTTGGTCCCTGGGCCCAGCCAGGCCTTTTGAAATGCAAATATCATAAGCCAGGCTTCCCAAGGCTTTGCTACCTAGGGTGACAGAAAGCCTCCTGGGGGATTAATTCAGGTCAGGCTTTCCTCTAAAGTGAATATATGGCTTTTCATGACTCGGAACACCTCTCCCCAGTCACAGCCACATCTCTGTTACCCATGCCCCCAAGAACCCCTCAAATGTCCATCCAAGGGAGAACGGCCATGGATGAAACCCTAAGCTCAAGGGACCTTTACAGACTGCACAAGCTCATGTTGAAAGATTCTATAAGCCAAACATCGAGTGACTCAGGAAGTATCAAGAGAAGGTGGAAAGAATACACAGAGTTGTTGTAGCGAAAAGAACTAGTGGACAGCCACCGTTTCAGGAGGTAGCTAGCATATGAGCAAGAACAAGCGAGCGCAAGAAAGAAGTTCACACTGCACTGAGTACACTAGGCCAAAACAGAGCTCCAAGGATTGGTGCTGACGGGGAGCTGCCAGAAGTTCAGGTTGGATTCAGAAGAGGACGTGGGACAAGGGACACCATTGCTGATGTCAGATGGATCTTGGCTCACAGCAGAGAATACCAGAAGGATGTTTACCTGTGTATCATTGACTATGCAAAAGCATTCGACTGTGTGTTAGTCTGGGTAGACTAGAGAAACAAATCCATGGACACACCTATGTGTACAGGAAAGAGATTTATAGACAAGAGCAATTGAACATTGAGAAAACATCCCAACCCAGTCCAGTCCAAAGTCATAAGTCTAATATTAGCCCATATGTCCGACACCAATCCACAAAGTACTCTTCAGACTCATGAACCACATGCAATGATGCCAAATGCTGAACGATCACAGGCCAGTGGCTGCAAAGTCAGTGGTGGTAGAAGCATCTCAGCACTGGCAGGAGTCTCCATGTGGCCATTCCAGTTCCCAGGGCTGCATCAGGGTAGGTCCATGTGTCAGGGATGACTCACAGGAAGTCCGCCTTGTCAGTAGAGAGTCTCCAAGGGAGTAGCAGAGAAAGAAGTGTCTCCCACCTCCAAGGAGGAAGTACCAGATTTCCCAGAATTCTCAGAAGAAGGCCATGCCCACAGAAGTCTCATTGGCTATCTCCAGATTGACAGCCTAGACTCCACCCCTACACTCTTAATCCTTTTATTGACACCAGATTAGGTGACGACCACGGACTGAGTGACCCATAGCAAACTGTGGATAAGGTGAGAAGAATGGGAATTCTGAACACTTCGTTGTGAAACGTACACAAACCAAAAGGCAGTTGTGCAAACAGAACAAGGAGATAGTACATGGTTTAAAATTAGGAACAGTGTGTATCAAGGTTGTATCCTTTGACCATGCTGGTTCAGTCTAGATGGTAAGCTAATCCATAGAGAAGCTGGATTATATGAAGAAGAGTGCGGCATCAGGATTGGAGGAAGGCTTATTAACAACCTACTTTATGCAGATGACATAACCTTGCCTGTTGAAAGTGAGGAGGAATTGAAGCACTTGCCGATGAAGATCAAGGACGGTAGCCCTCAGTGTGGATGACAACTCAATGTAAGGAAGAGCAAAATCCTCACAACTGGACCAAGAGGTAACATCGTGATAAATGGAGAAAAGACTGACGTTGTCCAGGATGTTGTCCCACTTGGATCCACAAACAAAGCTCATGGAAGCAGCAGTCAAGAGATAAACGACGTCCTGCATGAGGTCAATCTGCTGCCCTGACCTCTTTGGAGAAGTAAAGAGTACAGATGCTTCTTTGAGGACTACGCTGAGCCTGACCCAAGCCATGGGTTTCTCCGTGACCTCATCTGCACGTGAACGTTGGACACTGACTAAGAGAGACTGTAGAAGAATCGGTGCACGTGAATGTGGTGCTGGAGAAGAATACTGAACGCACCCTGGACTGCTAAGGGGACACATCGATCTGTGTTGAAAGAAGTAAGGCCAGAGTGCTCCCCTGAGAGGCAAGCAAAGTAGGACTTCGCCATACATACTTTGGGCATATTGTCAGTCGAGACCATTCCCTGGAGAAGGTGATCATGTTGGGCAAAGTGGAGGGATGGTGAAAAAGAGGAAGGTATTCAAGGAGATGGAGTGACACAGTAGCTGCATCGATGGGCCCAGGCAGAGGAGCCACTGTGAGGGTGGCACAGGCCCATGCCACATTCATTCTGTTATGCACGGGGTCCCCGTGGGTTGCAGAGCCAACTCAAGGGCATCTAACAGCAACAGCAGGCTCCCAACCCCTCTGTTGCTAACACTACCAGGACAACGGCCTCCCTTGAATTTTCCCAGCCTCCCTGAAAACCACTGCCTGGGAACTCATCACTTCCACTCTGCAGCCCATTCTGTTTATGTGAGAGCCCCCACCGCCCTCCACACACTCACCCACCCACCCACCATCCCTGCCCACAGTTTGACCATCTCTTGGCTCTCACTCATTTCTCTCCTTGCAATGCCTTTTCCATTTCTGGATCTGATAGCACCTAGGTGCTCATGTACACCATCTCTCCATCCCTCCAGGCCCTTGACTTCCTGCTGCCTGCTTTTGTTCTGTCCAGTCCCATCAGAGGACTCTTCTCCCAGACAAAGAAGCTCTGCCACCTCTGTGACACCTCCGGCAGGGCCTTGGGACACGTGGCTGAAGGACAGGCGGAAGTCCAACTTCTCAGGTCGAACAAGTGCTGACCCTTGTAGGCTTCATCCCTTTTACTCTTTTCTGAAAAGTAGAGTGTATCTGCATGCAGTCTGAGCTAAGGGTGGCTCTAAGGGCTGCTCTGGGCAGGTCTGCTGCACTTGACCTCTTTAAAGTGTTGAAGAGCGAGGATGTCACTTGGAGGACTAAGGTGCGCCCGACCCAAGCCCAGGTCTTTGACTTCGTTTGCCTCACCTGCATGTCAAAGTTGGACAAGGCTCAGGAAGACCGAAGAAGAATTGATGCATTTGAAGGACGGTGTTGGAAAAGGATATTGACTATCGCAGAGGCTTCTAGAAGAACAAAGAAATCTGTGTGGGAGGAAGTCCCGCCAAACGCTCTTTGCTCTCCTCTTGTGGACCGTGGCCATGTTGCCAACAGGGACCAGTCTTTGGAAAAGGCAGTATGATGGGTAAAGTGGAAGGTCATCGAGGAAGAAGAAGACAGCCCTCAGCAAGATGGATCGACCCAGTGGCTGCAACAGCAGGTTCAGCACAGCAATGCTGGTGGGGAGGGTACAGGACCAGGCAGTGTTTCGTTCTGTTGAACGCGGGGGTTGCTGTGGGTGGGAACTGACTCCAGGGCCCCCAGCAACAGCAAAGGAGGGTTTCTGTGTGGGGCACAAAAGGTCTGCACTTGGCTGGTAACCTAAAGGTTGGCAGTTCAAACCTACCAAGGGACCCAGCCCGGTGCCCTGCAGAAAGACCTGGCTGGCTGTTTCCATAAGATGACCACAAACCCACAGCCTTGGAGTGGATTCGGACTCACCATGACCCTGTAGGAGAGATGAGAACTGCCCCTGTGGGTTTCCAAGGCTGTCAGTATTTGTGGAAACAGACTGCCAGCGCTTTCTCCCATGGAGCGCCTGGGTGGGTTCGAACTTCCAACCTTTTGGTCAGCAGCTAGGCAGTTAACCATTGTGCCACCAGGGGTCCCTCTCTAAAGAGGATGACCTAGAAAATTCGATGAGGCCATTCTACTCAGCCACACAGGGTTCCTGGGGCCACCTCAGGACACTCTCCCCACCCCCCAACCCACCAACACCACGCTGTTACTCGGGGGCACACAGCCTTCCTCAGCTGCCAGGCCTGCTAAGCCGAGGTGATAGCAATCATACAGTTCACAGGTATATTCCCATGCTCTGCCTCAGAAGGTCAACGCAATTTCACCCGACTTCATAAAACCTTATTTGTCCAGGCAGTTCCAGCGCTGGCTCCTGCCACGCACAAAATTGGTCTTCAGAGGAACCCCAGGCCAGAGAAAATAGCAAATACGCCATCGGGCCAAAATGTAGCGGGAAGCAGACGAATCGTGTAAACAATGGCCAAAGCCCATCCTC